GGACTCTCGTAGGTTGGGTCTCCCCAGTCGGATGGGGGAGGACCATTCAGGGCGTGGGCCCCTTCACATCAGGGCCTACGGATGTAGGTGGAAGGGTTCAGTGATGGTGCGCGGCCCGGTCTGGGACCCCAGTCATGCCCTCTGGAGGGGATTGCAGGGTTTTTACACGAGCTATTAGAGAAAGGGAGGGCTGCGGCACCCTGGCGGTGTTCGCGGCGCCCATTGCATTGGACATGAAGGTTCGGAACCTTTTCGGCTCGTTCCCACCCACTGGTCAAGGTTTCCTTGGGGGGCCCCAACGGAAAGGCTCCTCAAAGGACCCCCCACTTGGGATTAAAGTGGTTTTGAAGGGGTATCGGGATCTCCTTCGAACCTGTGCCCAGGCCAGCCTGAGTGTGTGGCTCTCAAGATGCCCTTTTGCTGGCGTTGGTCTCAACCAAGAGGGCAGGGGAGATATGCGCACTCTCGTTCGCCAGTAATGTTAGCATTCGTTGCTGAGGACGGTGTGGCTGTGTTTGCGAACCCAGCTTTTGCCTAAGGTTGTTACTTCGGCTTTTAGGTCAAGGGTCATCAGGGTACGACCTTTCACCCGACGCCTCTGCCTCGAGGAGGAGGAGCGGCTGCATCTGTTGTGCCCAGTCAGGATGCCTGAGATCCTACTGGCGGTTACAGCTTCTTCAGAACGGTGGATCAGCTATTGTGTGCACAGGCCTAGAACAGAGGCGCACCATGGACACCCAGGATGCTGTCAACTGGGTGTGCGGGCGATTCGCCTGGCGTACCAGGTCCGGAGTTGGTTCCCCGGTGGGGGTTCAGGGCGCACTCAACGAGGAGTCGGGCCCTCCACAGCTCTGCTCCGGGGTGCTCTGTGGAGGGTTTGCAAGCGCGTCTTGGGCTTCGTCCTATACTTTGCCGTCTTATTTAGGGGACGTGGCAGAACGGTGGTTGCCCCTTCCATTTAAACGCTGGGGTCTGACTCACAGTGAAAGACCGCTCTCTCGTTTATTGGTTGCCAACTCCTGGGCTCTTTGATAGATTCGTCCGGGGGTATGGCCTTTCACTCTTCTCATACCTCAGGAGTTCTTGTAGAGGCGTCCTAGGTATGTTCACTGTTGGCTCCTAACGGGAGTCCTGCCTGAGTGTGGGCGTCCTTGATAGGAGCGGCCCTTGCTCGTTGTTCTTGCTCCTCTGGAGCTTTGTCAGTGTCACTCAGCGCGTCCTTGGTAGGAGCGGCCTCGTACACTGCGCCTTCTTATTCCTGCCCCGAGTCCATGCGCCTTGATAGTGCGGCGGGAACTCGGGCAGGGCTCCAATCACTCTACGCTGGCCTGATGGGAGTACATTCTCCGACGGCTTACGCGTGGTTACCCATAGCGAAGCCTCTAAGGGGCGTTAGCACCATGATGTAGAATTGATAGTTACCTAATGTAACTCAAGTTCTACGAATGGTGCGTAGCCCCTTAGCTACGGGCCCATCAGTCCAGCATGGCTTTGGCTGAGTTCAAAGTGGTTGGTACGGGCCGTAGAGGGCTATTTATAGATGGGACTGGCAGGTGATTGGAGCATTTTGTTCTCTCTGGCGGGAAGCAAGATGCTTCAGGAGTATACCCATAGCGAAGCCTAAGGGGCTACGCACCATTCGTAGAACTTGAGTTACATTAGGTAACTATCAATTACGTGATATAGCAAAGTGCACACTCTCCGTTAATACTGTGTATGGAATTGGAAACTTTAGGCAAGATTTGAGGTTAACATGTGCCATTCTGCATTTGAATGTTATTGATGTTGTGCTTGATTTTTGTTAGACATTTTTTTCTTGCGGTTCAGTGCAGATTGTATGTTTAGGTGAAAGACAAAACTATAGCTATAATATTGTTACTAAATAGATACTAAACACCCATATCAAAAATGCTCTAATTTCCAATATCGTGCAGCCGTGTATGCATTGTAGCTTACAGAATTGAAATTCAAATAAATACTATTATATAAATGAATAATAAATGCATCCCATGAGAAAATCCACTTGTATAGATTGTTTTGGTGATAATATCGGTGCTTCTTCCTCTCTACACATAAACACACGACAATACTCTCTCTGTCCGTGCCTTCAGAGGGGAGACTTCAAAAAGCAGAGATGAGTGACGGGCGAGGACATGAGAGCAGAGAGGTGCACAGGAGTGGCCCAATCTGTGTCCATCTCCCCCTGCCAGGCTGCATCCACGTCAGACTGACCCCTGCACCCACAGCGGGGCGCAACTCTAATCATATGTGAAAGACGAGGCCTGGACGCACCAAAGGACATGCTGGTCCATACATCTGTGCCACTGTGCCATAATGAGGACTAACATGGTAAATATGGAGCACAGTGACTTTGACAAGTTAACAGTCAGAATCAGCAGTCGCTTCTTCATTTCATGTACATTGGAGTAAGGATGTAAAAAACTATGAATTTTCATGACCGACCACCGAGCCTCATTAACCGGTTGAAACCGGTTAACCGCGTAGTTTAAAATATTCCACTTTCTTTGAAATAACAGCCATTTCGAGCCGCGTACTTCTCATAAGTGCAGCTCTGCGGCTCCAAAACCAGCATCAGCTTCGGCACCTTTGTGCACAGAGAACTTTTTTTTTAATCTTCTCATTCTTCTGTGCTGCGGGTTAAAGATTTTTAGCAGCAAACAACGGCTCGTTCACAGGGTCAGAGCAGCGAGTGACGAGCCGTGTCTCGCAGGTCTTCTCTAAAGTTTAAATACAAGTGATGTGTGTGGAGCTGAAGCCAAGGACCAGCAGCACAAACATGTTCCATGTGGTTTGACTGAACCCCGAGTTCGGGCCGGGCTCGGGCCTCATTTCAGCGCTCAGTGGTCGGGCCGTGCCGGGCTGTGACGGTCAACCACCGGTTAAACGGTCACCGATTTACATCCCTACATTGGAGGTCATCATGTTCCATATATTTTATCTTTTTTATTCCTATTTAGTGTTGTGTTTTGTCTGCTCTGTGGATTGTTAGTAAATATTTTAGAAATCTCAATATTGCTTTAAAATAATTGAATTCAAAAGAAGATTTGTCCGTATTGATTTGCTCCAGTCCCTTAAAGCTGGGGTACCGGACCATAAAACAATAAGTTTGTAATACAATCTATCTAACTCGTTCATCACTCTCAAAACTGTTTGATTCAATCACTAGTTCACATTTATGTATTTTTGGCCTCCGCCACATGTTTAGATCTACTTTTTCAGACAGAAAAGTATACAAAATGCATAGTTAATGAAAAAAGTTAGGTACTCCAGCTTTAACGTCCTCTCATAATACATGTAAATATGCAATTATTTAATCATTTGAGCCAAAATGCCTGAACAGTGCTGCGGAGTTGTACCCTGTACCCTGATTGTGTATTGAAGATGAGGAACAAAGATCAAAACGGAAAGGTAAGAAAGTGCTTCACATTTCCTGCCTTTTTTAAGTGATCCTATTTATGCCAAATGTGACATGTACATTTCTCCACTGTGAGAGCCATAAAGTTTATCTTATCTTATCTAGCGGTGCAAAATGGGGGCTGTCCATGCAAAGGCATTTTCGATTCAAGAGAATGAACAATACTCAGACATAAAGAAACGGAATTTGAGCAAAACCCAATTATCTGAATCCACAATATTGCATTTATGAACACCTGCTCCGATTGGTAAATGTACAAATTCAGAAGTACTCTGAATTCCTATATCGAGTACTCTGAATTCCTATATCGAGTCACTCCTATATAAACCCGAGAATATGTGCCAAAATGAATGACAATGTTATTAAATTCACCTGGCGGCCGTTATAATGTTATGCCTGATACGTGACATGAAGCGTGAAAACACAGGTCAAGTGGTCAATTTTTTCTCATTGCAAAGTTGAAATATAGCCACCTCTGTCATGTCTTCATTCAGCACTGAGGGAAGGACCAGAGCAGACAAAACACACCAATCTATTTCCAATCAGGTTTCTAATTAGCTGTGAAAATGATGTATTGTGACTCGTAATCAGCCGGGGCAGCTTCCTTTGAGTCATTATCACGGATATGGAAATTTCACCTGGATGTGAATGAGAGCAGGAGCAGTGGGCCGGTCGGGAGAAGGATGGACTTAAGATCAGAGTTCACTCATTATAGTGACATTTCTCCATCTGCCTCTGAATTGGCTATTGGCTTAAACCAAGAGAAAATGTATTGTTATGTTAAAACTGTGGTACTGCACATTTTTACTCCTGTCAATCCAGTAAAAGCCATCATTTATGAAATTGTATGTTACAGTATCTTCAGCCTTTGAGATTTGCTCTCTGGACAAGTGGCATTCTGACTGTAGTCTATAGTTCTTTAAAATTTCCACATCAATCTATTTAATTTATGAATTGTATGCATGTATAAAAATAACACACAGAAAATGGTATAATGCATTGAATTAAAGCGGGGAACCTAACTTTCAAAGCACAAAAAAAACAACATGATTCTTGGTTCAATCACTTATTTTCAGATGTATGTACTTTTTGGGCCTCTGTCTTTTCACACAGAAAAGTTAAAAATGGAGGACGAACCTCACTCAACTAATCTGATCTCAGTCTGAAGAGTCAAACAATGACTCACTAGGCAAAATATGAAAGATAAAAGGAAGACAGCTTGTTGTGGTCTGAAAATGTATACTCTATGTTTTAAAAGTTAGGTGCCCCAGCTTTAAGGACATATTATGGTAATTATTTCATTTCACGTTTGACGATGAGGCACTTTGGAAATTGTAGACGACCAAAATTAAAACACCATATTCCCTTTGCCAGGATTATTTGTTGATACATCCCAGGCTCTAATCATTGAAACTAAACTTGGGTAGGTATATTTGTAGTCAAGTCTCCCATTTTCAAAACACAGCTGATGTCAGATAAGGCAGGTTCTCCCGTCAAAGACAGAATGGCCCCAGAGGTCAACAGTCGCATGAGTCAAGTTGTTGCAGTGTTTTTTAAAGGATATGAGTCAGAGCCGGGTCCCGGTTGTGAATGGCCTTTTGCAGCTCCTCTTCCAAAGTCATGAGCCGGATACTGATGAGTTCACACTGCTCCGTCAGGTCAGCTCCACCCGCATCGCTGCATCTTTCCTGAAATTGCAAGAATAGGCCTATTTTAAGACTTTGTATAGAGTGAATATGTGAATATGTTCATTTAACAACTTATAGTTGGTCCCATGTTTGACTTTAGAGAAATGTGTTCAGGTGGTGCTCTTAACGAACCCAAAATACACACTGTAGGAATAAATACAGTCCGGTTGTCCCAGTGGCACTATAATGAGTCAACAGAGGACACACATACAGTGCAGCATTTATTAGTCTGGATGATAGAAGCAGAAATAGTGAGGAAGATGTTTACTAGAATTGCACTGTGCAATACCCTACCCATGGTCAATCAAATAAAACAAGATGCATGGACTCGGAGTCAGTAAAGTCAGACCAGGCAGAGTTTGGCAGGTTACTGAAATGCATTTGAAAGGTACATCCAATCTGAATGAAAGTTAATTAATGAGTGTGATGTGTTTTTCAAAGCCAAATTAAAATGACGTAGAAAAAAACATTTGTATATTGTGTGCACTGTGCAGCCAAACTATATGTAACTGCTCAGATATGATAAACTATTAAAGAAAAAAAAAGTGTACATATTTATGGTTTAAAGACAAAACTGTCTTTAAACCATAAACTGCAGCAGCAGTAACAATAGGCCTTTGAATCAGGGCACTCTCAAGTGTCAAATTGTGAAACTTATGACACAACACTGAAATGTCCCCACTGTGGGACAAATACAAGATCTCTTCCTCTTAATCTTAAAATCTTAAAACAAATATTGTGATAAAAATACATGGAGTTGAACAGCAGGGATGCCATGTGTGCTGTTAGCGCCTGAATACACCTGAGAAGGCCATGTGTACGAGAGCGGCACTGGGCGCGTGGTGCTGGTGCAGGAGCAGAGTGCACTAGGCCACTACAGCTGGCCAAAATTAGAACAAGCCCCTTAGCAGACTCGCTGTCCTAGTTTCACAATCCAAATGCACACACACACAAGCGCACACACAAGCACACACAAGCACACTGAACACTCAAACATCTCAGAGTGGGTCTAATGTGACTCATGGCTTTAGGTGGAATATAAGAAGTCCCTGCAGCTCAAAGGTGTCAGTATGATCTGAGCAAAGTCATGTGGCAGGCTCGTCTCTCTGCGTCCCGGAATAGCCCTGTTGTTGTTTTTGGGGATGATGTAACTGTCCTGAAGAAGCAACAATGAGCCTAAGGGACACCACAATGAAAGTCATTCCCGTGATATCCGATACTTAGACAAGATACTTGGACAAAAAATGTTCCCCAGTATCCATGAACCTCACCTTATTTCTGTGCACACATGTCAGCTTTGGCTTCCACAGTTCATAGAATATATAACTATCACTTGGAGCAAATGTTTACACTTCATGTATGAGTGTCTAAGTACAGTGATGTTGAATAATTGAAGATGGGTGTAAAATATACATGTATGGGTGAAAATGCGGTATTGTAATTGTTTTGTTGAGATATTATTTAACCAGAGCCAATATGTTTTCTTCTCCGTTGTACATATGTGTGTATGTTTTCCCGTTCAAAATGTGAGTGTATAAAGACCATTCATTCATATACTCCAAATTCCTATAAAAATGCATTTCTCTGAACGTTTCATGTAGATCAATCTGGCCATCTGGGTGTGACTGACAGGTGGATTAGCCAATCAGGGGCAACCATTATATCAAAAATATAATGGTTGCGTATGAGAAAGCATAAAAACAAATACAGTATCACAAGGGTCAGACAACATTTAAGATTTCAAAAGTCTGATCCTAGTATGACGCTGAAATGAACCCATTATAAAGTCAAGAATAACTCACACAGAGAGAGATTTTAGTTCAGAGGGTTCAGAGGGACAAAAAAAAAATCACTAATATGCAATAAAAAAAACTATTAAGAGTAGGTCTACAAAAGCCACAGCCACCTCAAGGTAGATTGGTGGAAGTAGATTGTCAAAAGAGGTCAATGATTGTCCCAGATACCAATCGATACCAGACTAAAATCAACAAACAGATGCTGGTAGACATGACATATCTGGCAATTGAATGAAAATGACAAAAGACCATCAAAGATAAAATACATCACATTTTTTATGTTGTCCTTGCGCTACATAGAGGATGCACTAACCTTCAGATGATCGCAACATCTGATCGAAGTGTTTATATTTTGAGTGTCAGGGTTAGCAGCAGATAAGAGTCTTTGTGTACTGGATTGATCCAATACTTCACAGGCGGCTGCAGTCCATCTCTGTTAAGTCAATAGGACCACAGGCTACAAAGGAAATGCACAGTGGGCAGGAAGACACTTTGTTAGTAACTATAGCCAGTAATGATGGCTGGGAGCAAAACAAAGTGAATTTTCCAATAAAAACATCCCCCAAGAAAGCTTTGGCAAGTGCCATTTGCAGGGGTTCCTAAATACGTAATATGGAAGCTGTGTCTTTGGAACACAATTGGAGTCACAATCAGAAAGTTGATTTTGCCTTGCTTTGGTCTAATATACCCCCAATGATACCCCCTATGATGACTCATTTTGGTTAGCTTTATAGTCCTAGAAGAGAATGAGTTTTTTTGTCCGGGTTAAATCATCTATTTTTTATCATAGCTTCTACCCAAATTACATGAAGTGGTGAAATTATTGACTTTGTTATATTCAGGCTTAGGGGCTGTACACACAGGTTGTTGAATAATTTGACTGTAAATTGTGATCATGATTAAACCATAGCCCATAGCAAATAATTATTCATGAATTAAATGTGAATACAAGTGTATGGGATGTGCTTATTCAAAGTGTAATAAGTGAGGGGGAGCTTTAATTGTGTTGGGTCCCATATGTGCTGTGAGGAGTGACTCTGAGTGGGCAAAGCCGAGTAATAACACCACTGCATTAGTACAGCAAAGGTTGTTAGTGCGCTCCCTGATAATAAAGGAACTAATTTAATTTTCAACTTCAAAAAGTTAACAAGCTTTTGATTAATTTGGGAAAGTGGTTAAAATGAGTTTGTATGGGAGGCATAAGGACATTTTGAACATAAAACAGTAATTATATGACTCTACAATACATATACATTAAGCATCTAGATCAAAGTACAAAGGGATTTGTAAGAGCTGCTGCCTTGCATGGACCAGGATGAGGCTCTTGTTGCACAGACTTGTCATTGAGATTGGTCGGTGGCAACAAAAACCAGCTGAAGAAAGAATGTACTGAAAGTCCAGACTAAAGAATATTCTGTGTCCATCACAGAGCCTTTCAGAGCACACTTGCCAAATGCAAACTTGGGAACCTGGGCCTTTTTAAACTGTACCGATATAGACATCTTCAGGATGTATTATTGTGGGATGAATGCGTTGGAAGGATGAACTGTATTGAAACGAATACTGTCACCAAAAGCACATAGTGACTGTGAAAAGTGCAAAATAAATAAATAAAGATGATACTGCTTTACTTTTCACGGTAAATATGTATCTTCTCACTTAAAATAAAAATAAATATAATCTAGTCAATATGTATAAGGATAATAAGGCTTTAATTTAATCAAGAATTGCAGTCATTTCCAATCATCAATGCTCAAGAACAGGCTATAATCTATCTGAGATGAAGTGGTTTATACAAATGTTAATAACTACTGGGACAGAGCCACCTGTTTGTGAAAGCCTGATTCTCTCAGATCTTAGAAGCTAAGCCAGGGCCCAGTATGAGTCTGTGTTCCTGAGTGAGCCTCAATTCTGTCAGTCTGTCCCAGGGCAGCTGTGGCCACAGTAGTTCATCACCTCCGTGTGATAAACTGAAATGTCTTTGAAAGTCCAAAAAAGGCGATATATAAAACCAGTGTATTTATAACATTGTTAAGCGACATCCACACCTAAAAATCTGTTTCTTTGGAAGTATGCAGAGTGTTTGTTCTCAAGTGTTACTTTTTGTACCAATTTCATTCCAAAATATGACTTTTAAAACATCAATCTGACAGATACACATTTAGAAATTCAAAAATCTGGTTCATTTGCTTATTTTTAAGGCAACTTTTCATTTTCAGCCGTTACACAACTTTAAAGCAAGTGTGCGTGCAGAACAAGAGTTGTTCATCATGTTTTTCATACTGTTTATGCCGACTGAAGAGGGCTCTTAACGTGTTCACAAAGCAGCACAGGCGAGTGGGAGGACTTTGTCACACAACTGAAAACAACAAAAACTTGAAAACTAAATGACATACTGTCCAGAATTGGGTCATAATAACCACCCATTGTAAAGCCAGTCATACGTGAGCGCTGTGGCTAAGGTGTTAATCAAAACTTCCTGATTACCATATCTAATCAAAAAGCCTTAACAACTATTCATGGGGCCAAATGAGAAAGGGAATGAACAACCTTGAAAGGATAAAAGTACAATTAGTGGAGATTAGGAGAGAATAGAGTGAAGCCAGGACACACAAACCAAATCAATCTCTATTGTGGCAGCGGGACATTGGCTCAGCACAAGCTGAGTGGAAATCATTTACTTAAAGTCTTTACAGAAAGAAGAACACGGTCAGATGCACTCCTAAACAAAGACGTGCCAGTCACACCAGTTCAGGGTTTATGAAGATGGACTGGTGTGAGACAAGGCCCTCAATGCATCATGGTCTACGACTGCCACTAGTAATAAGCATGCAGGTAGTGTGGAGCCATGTGGGGTGATAACCAGACACACATTTGACAGTCAAAACATATTGTCCGTTGTGTGTTGAAATGTTGCCGGGACAACAGTGGGAAAGGTTGGTGTGTTGTTTGGGCCCATGACGGCTTTTCACCAGGCATAAGACAGGAAAGTGTCAAAATGAAAGGGTCAAAACAAATTTCAGTCTCGTTTAGTCTTAGGGAATTACGTTAAAACGGACTACAGCAAGTGTATCATCCAATATCAATATTTTCAAACATATTTTACACGGGCAACTTTATAAAGGAAAGAACAGCACATCTTGTTTTGTTCAGCACTTGACTTGACTTGAATTGCGCTATACAACTTAACCTGCCTTGCCAAATGCTTTGACGGTAAGAGCAACGGTCTCGTTAAACGGAGGGTTGAAAAACCTTCTTCACCCGACCCACATGTAAGCAACAGGCTATAAAACAGTTTTCACATTGAACATGCCTCGGCAAAAAGACTACAGGTCACAAGGTGCGTTAAATGCCGAGTCATTTTGACATGCCAGTCTGTGTTGCTCAGTTTGTATGTACAGTATATGGCATCCTAGGATTTTCAGAAGGAATGATATTGCTTTGTTTGCTGTAGATGAGGTATTTTAGAGATTTAAATGGAGACAGCACCGCCAAGAAACGCCACAGGTAAAGTCTGTAGAAATTTTACAAATTTAATTTACAAGCCTATTTTATCAAATGTTTACCCATAGGTAGGTAGGTAGGTTATTTTTATTCATCTCATGAAAATGCATAGCTATACAAAATTCAAAACATTTAAACAAATCACTCAAACAAATCATTTAAACATTTCCATGATCAGAAAGGAGCAGATAGAAGAATAAAATTCTTACATTTTTCTGCCCCCTCTTTTAAAAAAACAAAATTAGATGGTTTTGCTGCCGATTCCTCTGCCTTCTTTATCAGAACATACAAATATATATATATATATATATATATATATATATATATATATATATATACACATACACACACTCATACACACATACACACATACATAGATACACATATACATGCATACATGTATATGTGTGCATGTATATGTACATGCATATATATATATATATATATATATATATATATATATATATATATATATATATATATATATAAAGTTTGTGTAAGCTCTCAGTCGTACAGGGATTAGTCAAAGCAAAGGAAGGTTTCTCACCCATCATCTGTACTTCTTAGCAAGTTTTCCCGACGTTTCGTCCTCAACCTAGCGGACTTCTTCAGGGAATGAATTCTCGGACCGCGCGTTGGAGATTTATAACCTATGGGTGTGGTTAGCCACACCCTAATCCTGATACTAACTCATAAACAATCTACGGTCTGCTTGATGTAGAAGGGAGCAGGTCTAACGACCCTGCTGAGGCTAACGACCCTAACTCCTTAGCATGTCACAGACCTATTGTCTGCTGGGATGCTCAAGTGGAGTGCAGGTCTCACCCCTCCTAACTCATTAGCATGTCACTGACCTTGTCCCAAGTTAGGGCGTTGTTTTTAGGATGTCGTCATAGATGCGAGGCAAAACAAATCTTAACCCTCCTCCTCTGTTAAGAGAAGGTTTTTGTTTCCTCACAAAAATGGCTTCTTTCACTCCTCTCTCAAACCAATTCTTCTCCCGAGCCAGAATTTTAACCTCTGTGTCATCCACCGTGTGGTTGGAGGCCTTGAGGTGGAGATGAACAGCCGACTGTGGCCCACTAGAGTTTTCTCTACGATGTTGGAAAAGTCGTTTCTGTAGAGTCTGTTTGGTTTCTCCAATATAGTGGTCAGTGCACTCCTCTTCACTACATTTAATTGAATACACCACATTGCTCTGTTTGTGTCTGGGTGTTTTGTCTTTGGGATGCACTAATTTCTGTCTTAACGTGTTGAAAGGTTTGAAATACACAGGGATTTTGTGTTGCCTAAAGATTCTTTGTAGTTTCTCTGAAACTCCCGCCACATACGGTAAGGACACGCCTCTCCTCCTACTTTCTTCTGTCTGTTGGACTATGTCTCTGGCCTTTCTCGTCCTTTGGGCTTTAGTAAAAGACCACTTGGGGTAGCCACATCTGGAAAGTGCTCTCTGAACATGTTTGGTTTCTCTGTTCTTTCCCTCCGAGCTTGTGGGGACCTGGTGGGCTCGGTGTTGGAGCGTTCTAATGACCCCGAGTTTATGTTGTAGCGGATGATTTGAGTCAAAGGCCAGGTACTAGTCAGTGTGAGTGGACTTTCTGAAGACCTCAGTCTCTAATTGTCCGTTCTCCAGTATGATGACCTTACAATCTAGAAAGGCGAGTTCACTCTCCTTAGCATCCTCGCGAGTGAAATTTATAAAAGGGTCCACCGAATTAATGTGTTCTGAAAATGGTTCCACTTCCTGTTTCTTTAACTTAACCCATGTATCGTCTACATATCGAAACCAATGGCTTGGCGCTGTCCCTTGGTAAGAGACAAGGGCTTGTTCCTCCAGTTTCTCCATATACAGATTGGCCACTATAGGAGAGACTGGGGAGCCCATCGCACAGCCATGAATCTGTCTAAAGAAGGTGCCTCTAAATTGGAAATACGTGGTGTTAAGACACATTTCAAGTATTTCACAGATGTGGTCAGCTGTTAGTTTTGTTCTCCCCCCTAGTGTGGCGTCTTTCTGTAGGCTTTCTCTTACAGCCTGCACCGCCTCTGTAATAGGGACCGACGTAAAAAGCGATGTCACATCAAACGAGACCATTGTCTCATCTGTGTCAAACTGGAGGTGTTTGATTTTATTTACAAATTCTTTTGTGTTTTCTATGTGATGGTGGGTGTTACCCACCAAAGGAGCCAGAATGGTTTTGAGGTGTTTAGCCAGGTTGTAGGTGATAGAGTCTATGCTACATACAATAGGCCGAAGTGGAAAGTTTTGTTTGTGTATTTTTGGGAGTCCATATATATACATATATAATACATATATATACATATACATACATATATATATATACATATATATATATATATATATATATATATATATATTATATATATATATATATATATATATATATATATATACATATATATACATATATATACATATATATACTATATATATATATATACATATATATATATATATATATATATATATATATATATATATATATATATATACATACATACATACTCATGGATCAAGATAGAGTTACATGCTATTGTACAGTGAGAGAATTTTACTCAATGTTTTCTATTGCACATGTTTTCTTTATTTGTATCTGTAGCAAAATAATTGTTGATGGTGGAATCCTCAGATACGTTTCATTATTAAAGACTTAAGACATCATTTCAGACTGAAGCAAACATCTATTCTCTACACAAGGAAAAGTGAAAGGCATTGGTTGTTTCCCTATGAACCTCTTTGGCGCCTCTGGATATTAATATTTCAAGTTGACACAGAGGTTTGGAAAGTGTTATTGAATATATTTATGAGAGAAAGGTGTAGATGTTAAACCTGGTTATACTGACAGCTTTTCACCCAAAAAACCTCTTTAGAATGTTCCCTTCCTAAATCGCTACGGCAAAGATCTCTGTCTCCGAGTTGGGACCACATTTATGATTCATTATGTTTGGGAAGGCACTGTCTAAAAACAGTATATTGCCTAAGATGACATTTTACATATAATTATAATTCAATTAAAACTAAGCTGGAGGATTGGTGAAATATATATTGAATTTGTATCTTTAGTAACATTACATATAAACCAATGTGATGTGATTGTTCAAAAGTGTATTAATTTCTGTAATTCAAATTACAATGTGAAACTAATGTATTGCAGACTCATTATACACCGAAAGGGATACAGTATATCAAGCTTTTATTTATTATTATTCTTAATCAAATATGGCTAGAGTATTTTGAAAATGGCTCAGATGGTAGAGCACTTCAGATCAGCACTGAGAATTTGGTGGAAACTCTGATCAGCGCCGATGTTGTGCAAGTTGTAGTATTTTTGCTTGGATGTTTGCGTCAAATTATTTGTAAAATGCATTTAAAATGTGAATATCATTCTTAACAATGGCTGAGTGGTTAGCACTCTTGCTTCTCTGCCGAGTGGGTTAGAATCCTGAGTGGAGTTTGCATGTTCTCCCCATGCTTCCTCTGGTGCTCTGGTTTCCTCTACCTCTAAAACATGAGGAATGGGTAAATTCCTCCAGCTCTGGTCCTGACCAAACCACATATTAGTATCCGGAGATGGGTGCCCTGACGCTGTACTTCAGTGACCACTGCTCCTAACCCAGGCCCTATAGCGGCATTGAAGGACGGATCGCATGCAGAGGACAAATTTCCCTATGAGGACAATAGAGTATGACTTAATAACACATTATATCTGTCAATAGTGCATAATCTCCAGTTTCAATAGTTTCACTGTAGAGAAGCCCAAAAAAACAGTTCCAACGCCCAGTTGTAATGTACATTTTTAAGCAGGTGCAAAATCTCAAAAACAACAGCTCAGCAAAACTCTTGGAAGTAAAATGCTTTGTCCACAGTGCAGAAAGTGGAGTTACTCACGCAAATTGGTATTGATCCTACAGTCGGGCAGGTGTCAGGGGCCATGTTTAAGTTCATGTCAGCTAATTGATCCCTTTGTGTCCTGCTCCACCACAATGACAGAGAATTACTCTGATAAAAAACAGTCAAAGCACAGCATTACACGCACTCACCTCGGGGGCATTGTCCTCCACACAAAACAAAAACTCCTCCAGTTTCTGCAACAAAAGAGGAAAATAAAACATCACTTAAGTCTTCCACCTTTCTCATGAATTATTGAAAATGCAATTATGCGAGCGTGTGTACAATACGTGCGCAGCATTGCCTTCGTAATGAGACAGTGGATAATTATTCACCACCAAAACTGGCAAAAACGTGATTAACGGTTTCATCTGTGCGACAGCTAGAATTCAAAAGAGCCACATTCTTTATAAGGAAAGAGAGATTACGGAAATTCTTCATGGCTCCAGGCTGTATTTCAATTGACTCGTAATTGCATTTTGGTAATTTTCTCAAATTATAATAGTCGCGGTTGTCTTGAGGTATCACACAGTCCATACAACAGAACAGTCGACTGTCTGTCTTTCCTGAAGTTTGTTCATAAGGTATTTTTCATTAGTTTGTTTTATAATTTTTCATTCTCTCACAACTGCTATATAAATAAAGATTTCTTGCTTACTAAAAGATTTAGTAACTAAGAAATCTTTATTTACATAGCCACAAGTACCACCCAATTGTTGTGGGCATTTTTCCTCTCACTCCACACTCTCTCTCTACACAGTGCTGGGAGAACACAAGGAGAACATGCACACAGAAAGGCCAGGACCCTCTTGAGAAGCACAAGCGCTAACAGCAGCGCCACCGTGCCTTGATATAAGATAATGACAAGATAACACAGAAATTTGGGCTAAAAATCTCTTTTTGTGGAAATGTGAAAGCATTAAAGAAAGAAAGCGACACTTTGAGGACAGCTACATTTGCTACGTTTTAATACATTGAGAGTGAAGTCAAAGTTAAGTTTATCTATATCGCACATAGGTACTTATATGATAAGTATTATATATGATATGAGTAAATTTTATGAACTTAGTCCATATTTTTTTGTTTATCCTCAATTGATTTCTGACACATTCACTTTGACGTCTGAATTAGAATGACCTTAACTCGCTCCATGTAAGCCACAATATTGCATCGTTAAACTAAATATTGACCAGATGTTTATAATAAATTTCCATTTTGTGAGAACTAAAGAAATACAAACATGAATTCCTAATAGAATAACCTTCAAGGCTTCACCTTTCCTTTTTAGGTGATTAGAAGACTTAGTAAACATTGGTAAGACAGAAGTCAGGGCGATAACATTGATATCTTTCACTTGTCTGGTATAGAACTGGCAAATAAAAAAATCCTAAACCATTGAATTTAAAGACATGTGCTTTACCTTCTACAAAACAGTGATAAAAAATGACACCTGCAGCTCATTATTTGCATTTGTATTTGAGCTACAACGAAAATACTTTGCTAACACCGCATAACATAACACATTGCTAACATAAAGTAAGCAATCAGATTTTTATTTTCCTTTGGGCAAAATGCTTTTCCAATGTGCTGAATCATCTACATTTCACAGATTCAGAAAAAAGTGAACAAATAAGACAATATCAGCAGTGGCGTCGAGGAGCCAGAGGATATTATTTAATCAAACATGCATGAAATCGTCTTAAAAACTGTGAGTTTATAAACGTCAAAGGAAAAATACTATATGCAGTATGGTCACAAGCTGTGGAAGTAGAAGTTGCATGTTATGTCCCCTTTAACATCCTACTTTGCAACTATTTAAAGGACAAGGTTCAATAAGTTTGAGGAGTTTCATAAATGTAATAACAAGAAGAGAATGAACCTTACAGCATATTAGCGTTTGGGGATATTTCCGCGTATTATCTATGGCTGCCCATATTGTATAAAGGTTTCCAGGCATATTAATAATAAAAAACATTGCTTTGAGACATCTCTGTGGTTTAATTAAAAGACTCTTGAGATGTGGGTCCTTGGATATGCAGAAACATGTAGTGCCACTTCAACCACACGTGAAGAAGTCTAATGAAGCGGCGTAGACATTAAGTGCTTGGTATAACATCACATTTACATACAGTTCGACTGTTCCGAGAGATGGTGACACAAGACATAAATAGACCTTCAATAGACGAAACAGTACAGGTATCGTAGTGAGAACAACGCTCGGTTGTTTTGAAAAGAGAGGAAAACGTCACAAGGATAAGAAGATGTATCTTTCATTGTTTGTAAGAATCTACAATACTTTTTCTATTTGTATGTTGACTAAGATTTCAATGAGATATAGTCTGTTAGTCTCAGAAACCACAAATGAGCTACATCATTGATATTGTTGAGGAGGTTTAAAGAACACAATGAACATTTTGCCTATGATGATGCCAAAATCAATTACTTTTGGCCAATGAATACTTGTCCACCATGATTATTAACTTTTCCGTACTGCAAACTGAACTCCAATATAGAGATTATTTTAAACATTCATCTCATCATTTCAATTTTCTGTATACACATGATGCTGTAAAACTACTGTATTTGTATTCTTTTTTTCATTTATTTTCAAACAGACACACACACCCACATACACATGGACACACCTACAAACACACACAGAAATTGTATTGTGTATAGTATTCACAGCTACCGGAAAAAAATAACAGTGAAAACATGAAACCAGAAATCACAACCAGAACTAAACATTATTCATTAGGGACATAAACGTGACACAAAACTGGGTCCACAAGAAAGAGAAGAAAAGTCAAGATTTTGAAGGGTGGAATCGGATTGTTTTCTGAATGAAATCCTACAAATGATAAGTCTTTACTAATAATATTCCGAAAAAATATCAAAAGCAAGAGTTGGCAAAGTTCTGACCGCACAACACACTCTATTCTAATTAATATATTAGATTCAAGACTCAAGATTTCAAGAATGTATTTTCCATTCGCAGTAAAATTGGAAAAACTGTGCAAGACTACCCCATTGTGCACCAGAGAGAGTAGAGAGTAGACACCAGCGCTCCTGCCACTGGTTTGTCCTACTTGGTCTATACTATTCTTGGAGTTGGCCAAGGGCTTCTCAAAATGTGTAATTCCCCAGTGTTCATCCTTTGTTTTGCCCAAACTGTTGAAGAATCTAGAATATGTTACTATATCTCGCAAGATTGAGCCCTTTCACTACTATTCATGGATTTCAGTTTACAGATCCACACAGCATTTCAATTAAAAATACACGAGTAATGCTTTTTAATAGATAATCAAAACGACGACGGTCCTCATTTCTGAAACCCATGGATCAAAAGGAACTATTTTAACTATAGGGTCACGTCTAATGCCAAAACTAACTAATTTAACCAGGATTAATCCACATTTCTAAAGACAAGACCCAGGGCTATATTTCCAAATGCTAATTCTAAGTCTACATTCTTCTCTCTCTGTCTGCATGTGCGCTTCTGTCACTGCAGACAAATTGTGGGTGTTCTCACCTTTCAGTCGGTGGAGGCTTGTTAGGAGGGGCGAAGCTTCGGGAGGAGAAAAGAAACAAAGAAAAACACAATATAGATCCAGTCATGCAGCAGTTGTATGAGAGTTTCATCATGCAACACGGAGGTAAAACTGGGAGGAACAATAGACGATATGAATGCATTGGTTTTAAGAGGAAGAAGAGGAGAGTTGAAGAGGAAAGATGTTACAAGAGGTAATCAAGTCTAAGCAGGGGAGATGTTTGTGTGCGGAGTTGGAGGCAGATACTAAAGCAAAGAAGAATAAAAGTCTATTGTATCTCCACATCAGGGGATTGGCTCATATAGCTGCTTTCAACTGGAAGTAACATGTTGAACAAAGTAATGGAGGATATGAAAGTCTCTTTTACTTTTCGTAATCAAGAATACACAATACATGCCATTTCTCTGGATGTCGAGGCGCAACAAAAATGAAGAAAACATGAAAAAAATGAAAATAGATTCAAGGAAAGTCTTTTTTGTGAAATCTAAACGGTCATTAGACCTGTCATACCTATTTGAACACAATAATCTACAATCCAAATACTCCAAATAAGAAACGTAATTAATAAGGGGTGGGATTAAATAAGTTTCTTCTTCTTCCCACTCCCTTTCGTATATAAAATGAGACAATGTATTTTTATTATTACTATTATTTCATCTATGTCTTTATGTATGTTATAATCTATGTACAATTGAACATTATTATTAATTCACTTTTCGTATGTATTTATATATTGTCTTTAAGAATCTGGTTTTGGTTAAGTTAAGTTTTGTAACGCATGTACAAAATAAAAATAAAATAAGATATAGAAAAAATAAAAAATGAAATAGAATGTAGATAAACTTGCATTGCCTTGTTGCCTTGTAGTGGATGCGCCATTATAATCAAATCATAACACACTTGAATTACTGTGTGTCTGAAAGTGTGACGGAGGGACTAAAAGCTACAGTTCTGTGTACTTACAGTTACTCTTACAGTTACTGTGTGTTAATATTCACTGTCCCATCCAAATGAACAAACAAACAAACAAATAAATACATCCTTTGAACGGTTCTTTGCAAATGAGCAGTGACAATATAAAGCGTCTGCGATGGTAATAATAGAACATAGTGAGAGAAAATATCCCCTCTCCAGCGCATGATTGGTTCTCCACTTGTGGCGGTTTTGGCTTTGTTCCTCAGACTGGAGACTGGAGCATGTGTGGGAGGAAGTGTGAACCCTGAGGCCAGAGCCGACTGTGGGACGGACCAGCACATGAGCCGTCTGAACATTTTTACACACATTTACACACATTTACACACACTAACGCACACTGACACACACTGACACACACTGACACACACTTACAATACAAATGAATGAACGCATACAGGCATCCTCACTAAGTATGCTTCAGTGTGTGCGGTCTGCGATGGGAGTGTTTGAAGCTAGAAAGGATGAAATGATAACTACAAACTATTGAGAGTGAATCTATTTAAATTCATATAATAAAATGACTTCGTGGATAAGGTTGGTAAAATGGGTATTCAAGATAATATTGGAAAGGAAATTAAGAATAAAAAGTGATCAAAGTCTCCAAGAAGAACATCAGATAAAGCATGAATAAAACTCACAAAACATGAAGACAGAACTATGTTAAAAACACA